CCAAGCCAAAGGTTCTTCCTCTGGGGCAAACAGTAATAGTCCAAAAGATGTTGGAGGTGGGGGCAGCAATGGTGTCAGCAACTGAGTTAAAACTTTATCAGCAGAATCTAAGGGCATCTGTACGTGTACTCTGCAGTAGGGGGCATTTTAATAGGAGCAGCTCAGGAGCCACTCTAATTGAAATGCACACAGCGTCTTGTGTATTCAGTATCCCGCATTTCAAAATGGCAGCGGGGGTGCTTTAAGGCTTGTTCGACCAGCTTTAAAGTGCCCCTCCACCATTTTGAAACACAGGGATGCTGAATACGTGACACTGGAGCGTTCTGATTAGTATGCTCCCAAACTCGATTAATCGAATCTGCTCCGATGCATCAGAGCACATGGAAAGTGCCCATTATAAATATTTTTTCCCTTTATTGCAGGAATTCATCCTGCTTCTTGTGGGGCTCCCATTCAGTCCCTTGCTCAGTTTCTGGGAAAAAATACTTAAACTGAAGGGTGTGCTTGGAGCCAGACTCCCAGGTGTTCATGATATGGCTCCTCAAGCTGGCCTGAGAGCATCCCTTCTGCAGAGTAATGTGCAATTTATGCTGGTGTTGGTGCTGTACTTACTTGGGGATCCTTGGACTGGGATTATATGATGTGGATGCCTATGACAGAAAGAGAGTAGTTTCAGTGACCTGAAGAGGTCTCACACTAGCGTTAGTTTTTCCTAAATGACAATAGTCTCAAGCAGCACCTTGAGGACAATTTGGGTGAAAAGTCAGTGAATCCTGCACTGGGTGTAGAGGTTTATTAACAGAATTGTTTTTTCTCACTCCCATTGCTGTCCCTGACCTCCTAAGGACAATTTGTTTTGGATTGACGGGACCAGGAAGCCAAAAACTGCTGTCCTCCAGTGACTTTTTCATTTAATGTGATCACTGGGGTTAACGAGCTAGGCTGTGGGAATAGTAGTAGTGGTTTAGTAGCAGTAATGATTTAACTATATATCAGTTCACTGATCTGACAGTTAACAGGAGTGCACTTTATGATGAAATACGAACTAATGGTTGCTAATGCTGTAATCCTAGCTGTGGTTCATTTTCTCTCTCTTAATAAGAAATGCAAAACTAGTATGATTAACTTGCTAGTTGTGGGTATATGGCAGTGGTCTCCAGCCTTTTTAAATAGGAGATCACTTTTGGAATTTAAAAGCAACCCAAGATATCTACCGCCACCTCCCCTTCCCCCCAGCCCTGCAGGTAAATCTGTTGGGAAGGAAGGGGGGCAGATCAAGGGAGAGGGGAAAAAATTATTTGGGGATGCACCTCCCCAGCAGGTAAGTCTGTGGGGGAAGGGGTGGGGGAAGTAGAAGGGGTGGGGCAGGGGCATATTGAGGCCCCAGCCCTAGCCCAAGCCCTAGCCCTAGCCCCACTCCCTCCCTCACTGCTGGGGCCTCAATTTGTCCCTACCCCCTCAATGGCTGTGAGGGAGGGAGTGGGGCTGGAGCAGGGGCAGGCCCTGTAGCTGGGGTGGGTGGGATGGAGCCATGAGCATCTTGTCCAGGGGGCGTGAGAAGGGGGAGGCAGACACCCCAAGAGGGAATGGGAAGGTGCATGCCTCTGGATCTGCACGCGGGGCAGGCTGCAGCTTCAGGCTGGGCTGTTCCCAATGTGGGGGCTGGCCCGTGCTGTGCATGGACCAGGCTGAGAGCGGGGCTGGGGGGCGGAGGGAGGGGCTGCAGCCACCCAAAATTTCTCTGTAGCCCCCACCACCCACCCCTCCCGCTCCCAGTGCTGCTGCTGCCCCAAGCGCAGTGCAGCCCAGCCTCTGCTGGGAACAGCCCAGTGCAGCCTTCCTCTCCTCCTGCCCCCCACTCCCCAAGGGCATGGAGGCTGTGCGCCCAGGATCTGCACCGAGCTGCAGCTGTGGGCTGGGGCTGGGATGCTGTGCTGGGCTGTTCCTGGTGGAGGCTGGGCCGTACTGCACTCGGGATGGGCGGTGGTGGCACTGGGAGCGGGGATTAGGGGGGGCTACAGTGAATTTTCGGGTGGCTGCTCCCAGTGCCTGGCCTGAGCGTAGCATAGATCAGCCACTGGGAACAGCCTGGCCCTAGGCGGCAGCTGCAGCGTGCCTCGCCCTGTGTGCAGATCCAGGGGCACGTGCCTCCTGTGCCCTCCTGGGGTGCATGCCTCCCCCTCCTTGTGCCCCCTGGCTGAGCTGCTCCTGGCTCCATCCCACCCCGTCCAGGCTGCAGGACCTGCTCCTGCTCCAACCCCAATCCCTCCCTCACCGCTGCTGCAGCTGCCCCTCATTTGGGCCCCCCCAATCTATGTGGCAGAGGCAGCTGCTGTTTCAGGCTGGACTTTGTGCCCCAAGCCCCGCTGCAGCTGGCCTGGGAGCGGCCAGACACCACGTGCATCCCGCCACTGGGCTGAGCCGCACCTGCACGTGGCCAGCGGCAGTTGCCTCTGCCCCGCACAGAGATGGGGGGCATGTGCGCTGCGGGAGCCCCCCTGCCCCTAGAGGACCTCTGAGGCTCCAATCCTCCCACTACCAGGCTGGGCTGGGGCCCCACTTACCTTCCTCTGCTCCTGGATGACCACACTGTCCCTCCCTCACCACGGGGGCCTCAATCTGGCCCCTGCCCCATCCCTCCCCCAGACTGACCCTCCCCATCCCCCACCAGCCCAGGATTGACTTAAATAGGTTCCCCAGTCGGGGATTTGGGAACCACTGGTGTATGGTTTGTGTCCCCTTAGCCTGGAATCTGATTAAGATTATGTATAGTTGGGAGGGGAATGGGAGCCAGAACTAAGGGCAGTAGCCACACTGAAACTAAAGCCATCTCACTGCTTACATAATAATTTTATTGTTCATAACGTGAAATACCTCCCAGTTATGCCACAGTTTTCCCCAGAAGAGCAAAAAAGGATGATGATAGTCCTTTATCCATCTGTGGCTCCAAATCCAGTGCTGCTTCCTTTCTGGGCTGTTCCTTGGACAGTTTGTCAGAATATGGACAGTCTGTCTCTCCTTGTAGCCTGTTCCTGCATTGTGATCTATTGTAGAGTTTGTTCCTGTGACTCCGTCCCATCTGCTACCAGTCAGAAGATCTGGCCATCCCCACATGAAAGCTTGTCTTGCAGGATTTCAGAGCTAGGAAGAAGATGCAGCAGGCCCTGAGGAGTGCCAGCATGCTGCCAAGTGGCTTGCATTTTGGGGATGTTGGAAAGTGATTAGAAGAGCCAGGACATGCTGTGTTGATAAAGAGGGACAAAACTATTTTTTCTCTTGTGCAAAAAAAAATGTTAGAAGCTTTAGAGCGGTGCAAATCTTATAGTACATGTTGGCTTTTGCTTATTAATGAAAGTGCAAATGTAGGTAGTGTTTGACATGTTTTGGGGGTAGGAAATTGTCTTTATTTCCTGTCTTCAAGCCTAGTATAGAGTCTGAATGCAGGGAAGGTAGCTGTGGTTGGAGACACTATTAAGAGAAACCTTTGGTGTTTAGATATTGGTATTACTAATAACCTGTTTATATACTCAAAGTAGGAAAAACTGAATTTCTTTTTACTTAATATTGCATTTTTTCTCAAGTGTAGCTGTTAAAAGCTGGAGTGATTATTTTCACTTTATTTTTACCTGAGTTCACAACATGTTTCTGTTTAATTTATGTGCTCTTAACTCTTCTTCTATTCTTCTCCCATGCCCCAATCTTTATTTTTAATAGAACCTACATTTGAGGTTGAAAACCTTTTATCCAGAGTCACTGAAGTAAATGTGGATCTTTCTTCTCTCCTGAGTAATGAGGTGTAGATCCAGACCCTCAATTGCTTTTGTCATTCTTTAAGCATCGCAAATAGGTGTATTACTCTAGCTTCACCTTGTATTTCAGTGATAGGTAATTTTTCTGTGTACAGGTTTCCCTCACTTTATGCGGGTTTGGTATGTGTGAATTTGTTCTTATACGATGACCCATTTTATACCAAAAATGTTGTTATATGCGAGGTAAATTCACTCTTATGTGATCTGTGTGAGGGAAGCCCACAGTCAGCTGCTTTGTGTGGTGCATTGTGGGAGTGACGCACCAAAATATAGTCTCCCGTGTGGATCTGTGTTCCTCGCTCGTTGTCTGTGACACGTGTTTCTGTAATTGCCACCCCCATTGTGATGGTGCCTTGTGCTTGTCCGTACTGTCTGCTGTTGGTGAGTACCAAAATTGTATTGTAAAAGTGGTAGAAATAGGTCTGGGGGTCAGCACAGTCGAGGTCTTGGAACATATCCCTATTTGTTACAGTGTAAAGTGGGTTCTCTTTATGCGAATTTGAGTTATGTGCCGTTTTCCAGGAATGCATGTACAGCATAGTGAGGGAAACCTGTATAAAGGAATGCTTTAGGTTGGAAGCTTTACAAAATAAAAAGCTAATTTTGCCTTGAAGAAGCAGGGAGGCCTTTTCAATGCTGCAGGGTCACTGTTGGGCTAGATTATTGACAGCAAACAAATAGTCATGAGACACGTTTGCATCCGACTGTGCCAGAATCTGTGCGGCGGGAGCTAAATCTGCAGCCCTGAAACTCCCACTTCAATGGATTTCTGCAGCAGTAAAAATCAAAGGAGTAGGCCTCTTGAGGGAATGTCTATGAGGGGATAAACAGCATGAATTATTTCACTGATTTGCCAGTTTACTTTATGGAAAAGGAAACAGAGGCTACCCTAGAGGCTCCTCAACCTTCCCTCTGCCCCTATTACTAACTCCTTGCTGGTTTCCTGGGGCTCCTCCTGGGTGCAGTCTCCTGCTCATCCAGATGCAGCTGCAGGCACAGGCTGTTCTCACTCATGTTAAATTATTGCATATTTTAGGCATAGCACAATGGCTGATTTATGTTAGTTTAGAATAAAGTAACAAATCTTTTACTGAGATTGCTGGGCTTCTTTAACTTAAAAGTACTTAGTTATGAAAGCTATGCATAGAAATATCAAAATTCCTTACAGTTTGTTTGGCTTTGTTTTTCAAGTAGATACCACAAAAAGCCTAAAAGATGAAATTGAGTCTGTTTTGCTGGAGCGGATTATGGTTTTGGATGGAGGAATGGGAACCATGATTCAGCAGCACGCGCTGTCAGAAGAGGACTTCCGAGGGCAAGAATTTCAAGACCATCCCAAACCTCTAAAAGGCAACAATGATCTTCTGAGTATAACTCAGCCTGACATCATCTACAAAATTCACAAGGTATTACATGATTTCTGAATCTCTTGATTTAAAGAGGGAAAAAATAATCTATTTCTTGTATGTATTACTGTACTTTTGAGGGGTTTGACTAGTACTGATTGTCTCCTTTAAATGAAAAAATAATAATTTGAAGGTTGTATCACTTGTATATTGTGAACCAAAGAATTGTCAGGTGACCTGACCTGTGGCAGACCAGTAAAAAGCATGTTACTTATTCAAGAGGCTCCTTTGCTAGTGCGCTACAAATTGATGGATGGTATATATGGTCCAGTGTCTTCCTGTGTGGTTACTGCCCACTGTCTGGTTTCTTGGGTCCTCTTTTGAAAAACAAAACGAAATCATGGGCACTATATTTCCCCTTATCCTACCTTCTAGGACCTTCCTTGACATCTGCGAGTTGTCAAAGGCAGTAACCAATGGTTGTTAAATCACTACATTATCCAAATTTTTCCAAGTTATAGCAAAACTTAATTCTCCCTAGCTGCAGTACTCAGGTAGTGTTATAACTAATTGATATTTGCATATGACCTCAAACCTGTTCATTGGGGTTTTTTATTTCTGATTCCCGTCATCTTTTAAGTATTTTAACGATAACTTTTTAAGTATTTTAGTTTTATTTTAATGCTCAGTCTCTTAAGACTTGTTTGGTAACGTAACACTTTTTAGAGAATCGGGAGCTTTCTAGTGCTGTGGAGGAGGTTAAGGAAAAAAGCTGTTTGAAGCTGTTCCTAGGAAATGGTCAAAGCTCTATCAGGTGAGCTAACTTGACACCAAACCCTGGAAATTCTCCATGTTGGGCTTCAGATTTCTTAATCTTTTTCAACCCATCTAGGTTGAAAGCTGGTGAAATTTGCAGGCTTGGCATGATCTATAAAGATGTTAGAGCTTCACAAAATCCTTGGAGGATAACGTATTTATGGACAGTAACTTGAAAAATGCCCCTTTAGTGCTCTGTGTCTCTGTCTCTCTCTGCTTGAAAAGTGGAGTCCTTTAAATAGGCACCCCTTTAGTTTTTACTAAGTAGTTTTTACCTGTGCTTTGGTTGATAAGTGAGATCTAAAAGGAAGATGCCATTTTTCAAAAGTCAAAGCTGATTTCCCAGTTAGAGCAAATTATCATTTTAATACTGTTCTGGTATATAGTAATTTTAAGCACTTAAAAAAAAGAGCTTGAAATGCATAAATCTTTAAATATAAAATAGTATGCATGTATTTAAGAAATGCTCTTAAAGGAGGTTTAAGTGTACCTTTTATCATACAATATGCATCTTTTCCTCTAATAAAGTATGTTTGTCGTTAATGAGGACACTCTCAGAATAGGAGGAAAAAACATGCTTCTGTCTTAACAATCCACTCCCCCCCCCCAGTCATTGTTACAAATCATACCTGAAGTCATGGTAAATGAGAGATTAGAGAGATTAATTTTTTAGTTTGTTAATATTGTGATCAACTGTGGTAGCAAACATCCCAATGAAGCCAGTGAAATAATCTTCCCTGTTTGTCTGTCCAGTGCATGAATAGCTGGTGTGCGTTAGGTTAAAGGAGCAAAAGTGCTAAATGCAGTTGTTGCCAGTCATATTTGTATGCATAGTTTTGTATGCTTAAATCTCTGAGTGAATAATTGTTCATTTATTTTAGTTGTGTCCCAAATGTGCAAGATGTATGTTCTAAAAGCATGATGGCATCATCTGTGCACCAGAGAGCTTTCGTGGTAACGGTTGTTGTGACACAATAAGTAAATGGAGAAATAAAAATTCAAGCAGCTAAAGAAAGTTGTAGGCCATGAAAGGAATTTTTCACCCTGCTTTCATTGATTTCAGGAGTTAGGTGGCTAAATACCTTCATGGTTTTGGGCCGTAATTGCTAGTTTAGACATGATCCTTAATAAACACAAATCCTCCTGGAATTCTAGTCCACTGCATTCTACTCTGTTTTCACTGTTACTAGATTTCCCTTCACTACTGAACTTTTTAAACCTCTCTCACCACCTAAACACTGCTTTTTCTTGTTTCTTCTGGCAAGTCCTACTAATATTTTTTTGCCTCTGGCAATTAGCTTTTTCCCACCATGTCACTGCTTGAAAATTCAGCCTGAACTTCTGGCTCTGTTGTAAGCTGGGGCAAAGTTCCCATTCACTTCAAGTAGACCAGAATTTCAGTTTCAGCTGGTAAACACTGCTCTGGTACATTTTGTATTAGTTTATAACAGGCTAATAATGTCTATTAAAGCAATATATGATTCAGTAGATTGCTTATGACCATCCATAATGGATGCGTAACATCAGTCCCTGGGTCACAGATGGACAGTGTCAGTAATTTGCTTTAATCTAATTCTTCTTAAACTACTTTATTACATTAAAAAGGTTTTTAAAACCAACATGGCACATGCTGTGTCCTTGCAGTGTCACAGCTCCTTAGTCTGACCATATAAGTGCATGTGCTCTTCAATTTGCCACTTGCAAAGGGCTGAGGTCTTGCATCCAATCATAGTGGATGCCAAGAGGCAGCCCTGCATTGGAAAGTATACCTTGCAAGTGGCTTTCAATTCAATTTGATTTTTGCACCTGTGTTTTATAACTTGTATAAAACTTGAATAGTTCTTGGTTCTTTTTTTTTTTTTTTTTCAGATACCTAAGTACATGTGTAACTTTAGGCACTTCAAGGAGACAGTTTGCATGCTTAAAGTTAGGTTTATACTTGTCTACATACCTGGATCAGGGTCTTAATTACATAATCTTAATATGAAGTATAATTCTGATATTAAAGCACTGCACATATGTAGCAGTCCTCACTGTGTGCAACACATTCTCAAAACAGTAGGAGTAGTATTTGAGTTGGGACTGCAGGATTTGGCATGCCATGAATGAAAAGGGAATTTTACTTCATAGCTTTCAACGAAATTAGACAAATGTTAGAAGGAAATAGTGTTGGGGAATCCAGTCTCCTTATCCTTATTCTGGGTCCTTAAGACTCTATTTTTGTTTTACTTATTTATTTATTTATTTGCTTGTTTGTTTGCAGGAGTATTTGCTGTCAGGTGCTGATATCATTGAAACAAACACTTTCAGCAGCACCAGAGTTGCGCAGGCTGACTATGGGCTGGAGGATTTGGTAAAAATTTTATACTACTTGTGCATCAAGATGTTAATAAAAATTTCTTTTTTGTCCCAGCAGCTAAGGTTACCCTAGTCCCAAAGTCCATCAGGTTCATGTTGACTGCTAAGTGCACGCTGTGTACAGTGTACAGATGTACAGAACCTGGGTGTACAGATAAGGTTCTTGAGGTCTTTGCTACTTGGGAGAGAAATATCACAAATTTATTTGTAGCCTACTTCCATTGTTGCAAAGGAGGTTGTGTGACAGCTGCACTGTGACAGCTGTCGATAGAGGCACAGGCAGTAACCATTTGTCATAGTTTATTTGAATATATACAGAAGGGTCTTGTTCTGCAAACAGGAACATTCTGCTTCAGTGTTTCCAATTTCATTAGGTGCCACAGTGGAAATGTGTGGTGTACTTGAATATTGCCTTTGTACATTACAAGTAGGACAGAACATTATTAAAGCAGTACATAGGATTCTTTTGAGCTCAGGTTTATCATGATTTTCCTTGAGGTTGTTTCATTTTTAACTTTATTTTAGCAGCTCAGTAACACTTGGAAATATGTATTAAAATGAGTTGATTTTTTCCCCCCTTTTTAAATAAGCTGACATTTATCCTCTTTGGACCTCCCATCATTCCAGCTGATCTTCAGCTCTTTCCAGTCTTAGTGGGAGTGAAGAATGTTTAGTAGTTTACAGAAGGAGCCCTCAGTCACTTCCCCATAAACTAGTTTTAACCAGAGATGCATGGTGGAGTGGGATTCATCTCATATAATCGCACCCCTGCAGTGCCCTTTAGAGCTTCATATAACAAAGCACTTTTCTGATGCTTAAGGTTTTCTGTAGTGCTTACTTTAGGCAAGACAAATACATGCATGCTTAGAATGCACTGCATGCTTGTTTAGGGGAGCGTTATTGCAGTAAGCTGCTTTGCTAGTTTTCTTTGAAGAAGAGCCATAATATATGAGACTGACCTTTTCTGTTAGCACAAAGTAACTGGCTGTCACTGTTTCAGGTTTATCGGTTAAACAGAATCTCAGCGCAGGTGGCCAGAAAAGCGGCTGATGATGTAACTGCTCTTACAGGTGAACAGCATGGACTTTTTTCTTTTTAATTCAAATGCTTCCTTTCCATGTTTGTTTGTCTCATTACAAGCCCTGGAACACTTGTTACCATAGGTGATGTGCTTGACTGCATCTGGGAGCAGCGATGCTCCGGGTTGTTCTCTGAGAATCCAAAAGCAGCAGTGATTTTTTTTTTTTTTCATTGCATGCTATCTAGATTTGTAAGATGCTACTCTAGTTCCTGTAGTAAAGGGCTGAATCAGCAGGGTGCTAATTATCACCTTCTAACACCAAACTGTCCCCTGCTTATTAGCCAGTCATTGGATTGTCTAGATAATTGTTTCCTAACTTAATCTTTGTAATAATTTTTACAGCTTCTCTCTGTCTTTGCTTTAGAATTTCTCTGTATAGGTCTGTGCTGTGCATGTAAAAATAATTAACTGAGACTTAAGAATGCACTGATGTGATGGCTCACTGTTGTATGGTGTACCAATGCCTGAGTAGCAGCATAGGAATGCAGTCAGGCACCCAGAGCACAGGAGCAGCAGTGACTTGTGGTGCTGCCGCTATTGCGATTGCTATTGTGTGGCTTCAGGAGCAGCTGCTTTTTTATGGCCCACCTACCCCAGGATGGTGCAAGGGTGCCACTGGCACCCCACTTGCTTGCTATGGTACTGTGTATGAGTATGTAACATTTCCTCTCTTACTTGGTAAAAATCAAATCTACTTACCTGTGTGGTGCTAACTATCTTCTGCCCGGTGTTAAATAAGAACCACCTTTACCTCAGAAGCAGGGGACCTATGCTTTTGGAACAGGAGGTGCTGAAGTCAATCCACTATTTTGCATTGATGTTGTGTGTTACAGTGATATGATTATCTGACCAGAAATGAGTCTAATTTCTTTCTTTCTACCTTCTCCTCTTCTTTTTAGGGTGTAAGAGATATGTGGCTGGAGCTATGGGTCCTACAAACAGGACACTATCACTGTCCCCCTCAGTGGAGAGACCGGACTATAGGAACATTAGTAAGTACCGTAACTTAGTTTTGTTGTAATTTTCATAATAGCCCCATACAGAAGGCTCCTCCAGCTAAAGCTACATCAAATAATGCTTATTTCATTTTACAGCTTTTGATGAGCTGGTTGAAGCTTACCAAGAACAAGCCAAAGGACTTTTGGATGGAGGAGTTGATATCTTGTTAGTGGAAACTATATTTGATACAGCCAATGCAAAGGTGAGATTTTGGAGAATACTTCTTAGGTAATTTCACAGTTTTGTGAAATGCATAGATAAAATTTAAGCAGAAGGAAGGACATTTCAGCAGAAGGAAGGACAGCAGTGGCCAGAAAGAGCTTAGCAGACATTAGTTATTAAACACATAAAAAAGATCTTTACTCTTCTGTTTGTATTATTGTCCTTGTAATATTTAATGACAGTTTGTAGATCATAACACATAATCTGAAAGAAGTTCTTCTTCATGTCTTTTATTTGCCAGTGCTGTTTTTAAAATGATCAAAGCTTTCTTGATCAGGGCTGTCAATTCTTCTGGTCCATAGGCTGGATGAGTCTCATGGAGCCAGTCCACAGGCCAGTGCGTGGAACTGTATCATCTGGCCTTCAGGGCTGTCTGTGGGGCCACACATTTGTTGACAGAAATATTATTTGCCTCCTGGAACCATGGCAGCTGCCACTCCTCTTGCAGCACAAAATCTGGCTCTGTGGATTTTTTTTTTTTTTTTTTTTTTTTTTTTTTAAATCATGGAAAATCAGAGCTCCCTCTGCCCCCTTTGCTCACCAGGCCACAGGTTCAGCTGCTGGCTATCTCTGCCCCCCCACCCCCATATTGCTGGCCATGTGCATGTGTGTGCATGCATGACACCCCCTAAGTCCTGTTTTCCCAACCCAAAACAGGCTGGAACTCTGTCAGCCTGCAAGAGTAAACAGCCTTAGACCTCCTAGTTACTCTGACATATTTCCCCCCATCTACCTGTGGTGCTGGCCTTCATGAAACAAATTCCAGAATAATGTAGTGCAGCTTTTTACAGTAGGTTGTAAAAAAGCTATTGAGGGAAAAGAAAAAGAAGCAAAAAAGAAGTTCTGGTAACTTTTTGTGATATTGTTATTTCACAGGCAGCTCTCTTTGCTCTCCGGAAACTGTTTGAAGAAGAATATAAACCCAAGCCAATATTTGTAAGCACAAAACATTTTACTTTAATTACTGAGGATTCGTAACTGGTATGGGATGGAATGTAGTGTTATTTTTATTTAATAGAAAAACATATGCAGTATAACACATGCAGCAAAGGCAGCTTGTCTTTTTACAACGGACTGTTTTGAACTGCCAAACTTATCTTAATATCCTTAGGAAATATGAAGCATTTGTCGTACAGACTGTGTTGATCCTTACAATGTGAAGCTTAATGTGCTCAGTCTATTCGGTTCACTGAAGAGAAGCCTGGAATGTGACTGTCATTTGTGTGTAGGCACTAGTGTGGAAAAGGGATCTGACGGGGTGGTGGTGGGGATGTTCTTAGACTTATTATGAAGACAGGCAAGCTGCAAGTTAGACATTCAGTTAGACATGTTCTACCTTCAATCTGTCTGCATTGTACCTTCAACCTGCAATTTTCTGGAGGTTAGGTTCATTTAAACACAGGAAAAGCATACCAATAACAATGATAAACTTGTTCTCATTTGGAGTCTTTAAGATACAATTAGATATCCTCCTAAAAGACTGCACTTCAATCCAGCTTCTGGGAGAAATTCTGTGGCCTTTGTATACAAGAGCTCAGACTGGATAATCATAGGGCATTTTTACACATGCAAGTGCTGCAGCGTTGAAAAGTGCCTGGTGCTGCATTGCTTACAATTGTATAAGTGGCAAAATGCATGTCAACGCGCAGAAAATGGCAGTGGTCCACTTTAGAACTAAAACACTTAGCAAGTGTTTTAGTTCAAAAGCGCACCACTGCCATTTTCTCCGTACTGATGCGCATTTCGCTGCTTATACAACTGCAAGCAATGCAGCGCCATGCGCATCTGCTTATATGCAGAACAGACTTGATTAATTGAGTGTGCTCCAACTTGGGTGCATCTGGGCATGAAAATGTATGTGTATAAATGCCATAGCGCTCTGTTTTAGTCAGAGAGTGTACTTGAAATCTAAGTGTTATTTTTCTTTACACAACTCTTTGTGAGCCTGTAGACTCCATGGATGGCAGGTAGGGAGAGAGCCAGATGCCAGAACCAAAGAGTTTATAGTCCAAGCCCCCTAATATTTTATGGCTTAAATGAGGTTCCGTTTGGTCCTAAGGATCTATTCATGTAAAGTGCTTTGCAAAGTTGGGGCTTACAATCATACTTAAGGCAGAGGGTGTGGAAGACTTATTGTTAGGATTCTTGGCTGATAACCACAAGTTTGTTGAGCTGTTTGGTCATAGGTTTATCTCCATTAGAGGTTGCATAGGGGGAAGTGTTGGGGGCTGTACGGGAGAGAAGTTTGGCTTGCTCTGGTTTTGAGTAGAGTGCTATTCAATATTTTTGTTTGCTTTTTGAGTGCAGCATTTTTTAACATGCTTTAATTTTTAATCCTGTTTCTTCCCCTCCCCCTTCCACTCCTTTTGGTATTTAGGTTTCTGGAACCATTATAGATAAGAGTGGACGCACACTTTCTGGCCAGACAGGAGAGGCATTTGTCATCAGCATATCCCACTGTGAGCCACTTTGGTAAGAGAATACTTTCTGGAGTCCATAAGGTTGTATAGAAATGGTATGTTTTTTTAAAGTCTATTTCTACAGTAAGTTGAGAACAATGTTACCTGCAGCCATTGTTAATTCTGAACATGGTTAGCATGTTTTAGCTTGGTTTCCCTATCTAGTAGAGACAGGAATTACTTTTCCTGTCTGTAGTAGTGAATTCTGTTACAATATATGGTTTCAACTAACTTTATTTTAATCCTGATTAATTTGATTGGTAGAGACAAAGCCAGGCTGTTTTTAAAACAACTTTCATGAAATCATGCTTGGATCTGAAACACAGACTTTCAGATTCATGGAGACTTAAGACCTGGAGTAAACAGGGACTAAATGGTTTTGGCTGATAAAAAGAATAGTAAAGTATTATTATTTATAAAACGTCATCAGGTGACTGGTTTTGAGGATGGGGAGAGTAGGGGATGTGAAATACCTTGACTTCAGTAAAGGCCTTCTATATGGTTTCCCATGATGTTCTCCTAGGTAAGCTAAGACAATCCAGTCTAGATCATGGCTGTCCAGCTGGTGGCTTGCGGGCTGCTTGTAGCCATCGAGTACTTAAGCTGCAGCCCATGGGCCCTGGTGGCTGCCTCTCCCACTGCCACATGGTGGGGGAGGGCCCAGGGGTTCATGTACTGCCTGTGCAGCAGGAGGTGAGGGGGAGTCATATGCCACTGGCAGAACTTGCATACAGGCTGTGGGGAAGGTGCCATATGCCGCTGATGCAGATTGTGCAGCTGTGGGGATCCTGGAGTGTGGTTGCATGTGGCACCTGACCACACTGAAGTTGGACAGCTCTGGTTTAGATGAAAGTACTGTAAAGTGGGTTCATAGCTGGTTAGATTATCTTGCTTAGAGAGTAAAAGGTGTGATTTCTAAGTGAGGAGAGGGATTAAGTGGGGTTTGTGCAGGGGTCTGTTGTAGGTCTGGTACTTTAATACCAAAGAACCTGAATACTTTGGGGGTTTAGGGTTCCTGATCCCCTTGCAAAAATGAGAGCCTATGAAGTAATGGGGATACAGAGCCACAGCAAACACGTGTCAAGGCCCCTAAGGTGGTCTAGGTGTTTGCTGCTGTTTTTATTTCAAAGGGCACCACTTCTCCAATCATCTATGTGGGGCTGTTGATGAGCTCATGTTGAATGGAAAAACAGCACCCTTTGAAGTAAAAGCTGCAGAAGGCAGTGGAGTAGGTCCTCCTTAATTTGGCAACCTTTGCCTAGTAAGCAGCGTAAGCCAAGTAACCATCCAGATACAGTAGAACCACAAGTATTTGTATCTTTAATGACTTGGAAGATGGAATTGAGTGCACTCTTAGTACATTTGCAGATGATACTATGCTGGGTGCAGTAGCAGATGCTTTGGAGAACAGAATTAGGATTCAAAACTACTTCATGCTGCTTCAAAATACTTGGAAAAGTGGCCTGAATAAATTGTGTGAGATTCAGGAAAAGACGAGTTCAGAACTCTGTGCTTAGGACAGAACAGTCACGTAATACATATTGGGGGGCAACTGGCTAGGATGTTGTACTAGAAGAAAAGGGCCTGAGGCTTATGTTGGAGCCCAAGCTGAATGAGTGGCTAGTGTGTTATTGTTGAACCCCTGCCCCACAAAAAGCCAATGACAGGGGTACATTGACAAGAATATCATGTGCAAATCACAGGACATGATTCTTTCATGCTATTCAGATGGGGCTTCATCTGCCCAGTTTGGGTGACCACATTTCAAGAAAGGTATGGACAAAATGGAAAATGTCTAGTAGAGAGCAGCAAAAATAATTAGAGGCATAGGAAACATGCTAAGGAAAAATTGGGATTATTTAATTTAGAGAAGAATGAGGGGGAGGGTTTGTTAACAGTCTTGAAACACTTGAAGGATTGTTGTAAAGAGGTTGGTTATGATCTGTCCCCTAGGTACACAGACTACATAGAGAGATGGTGGAATCACCATGGCTGGAAGTTTTCAAGACCAGGTTAGACATACATTTATGTAGGATGGTTCAAACAGGGAAGTTCCTTCCTTGAACAGGCAGCTGGACTAGTTGGCTTTTTGTAGTTGTTTAAGCCAGAGGCATAGCATGAAAAAAATGCACCCTGAGCAGTCTTCTCTCATCCTCCCCTGTCTCCTCTCGTACCTTCTGACTTGTAGGTGTAGGAACAGCAGCCAGCAGCTGATGCAAGATGTGCAGGGACTTATTCTTTAAAAAGGCAGTGGAATTTGCTGCTACTGGCAGGAGGGGGAACTTTTATCTTACTTTTTGTGCCGAAGCACGTCCAGAAAACAAAAAAATGCTGATTTTTGGCAGCAAAAAGTGGGATCAATTCATTCCCTAGCATCAGTGAAGTCCATGCCATTCTGCAGAACTACAGTTCCCTGAATGTCCTGAACTCTGACACATTTCTTGTACCAACTGCTTCTTGAAGCCCAAAAGTGCAGGCAGAGTGAGGTAGACAGTAGCTCCAGGGTGAGGCATCCTTTCTGTGTCCTGGTTCCTTTCTCTTTAGGTTGTATCTAGGACATGTGCCTGGCTGCCCACCCCATGTTATGCCATTGGTTTCAGCCCTATTTTTTGTGCTTTTTGGTTTCAGTTCAAAGGGGTACTGAAAAGTACTTTGAGAGGTGACCCTGACAGCTGATAATTGAATAGACACATATTCTTAACCTGTTCAGGTATAGATGTTGGAGGGGTTTTTTAATGAAAAATTATGTTGAAAACAAAAATTGGCAAATTTGATGGCTACCGTCTACCTCACTCTGCCTGCACTTTTGGGCTTCAAGAAGCAGTTGGCACAGGCAATGTGTCAGAGTTCAGGACATAATATGTAAAACCCTGCATGAATCTTGCTTTCCCTTTGTTTTTCTGTCCCACCCCCCCTCCTCCTTTTTTCCAATATCTTTTTCTGTGGATTTCTCTGTCGAGATTCTCATTATATGAAGGTTTACACCAAAGGAAAACAGTTACCTGTCTGTTTTCCTACTGTTTTAAATATGTAGTTTGCTATTAGACACATACACAGCATATGTTATGGCAAGATAGTTTTGTTTTTCAGCAAAATCCCTTTTATAACTGGCAAGTTACCCTTGCAGTGAGGCAGAAGCATGAGATTTCACTTAGAGAACTCGGCTTGTCTGACTGCCCTTGAGACTCTACTTTCCCAGGCCAGACTGTACTGCAGAAGTAACATACGGAGCCTATTGAAACAGTGTTAATTGACTTGTGTATATAGCATCCCAGCCTAGAGATCGATACTTTCTATAGATTGGAGTACTAGATTAGTCTGTACAGGACATTAATTTCTCTATAAAGAGGATAGAGGGGGCAGTGAAGCAGAAATACAGAATGTATTAAACAGTATTCCATAAAAAAACTGTCAGATTTCTGTGTCTGATCTCATTGCCAAGGCTACTTCACTCTGCTGTTACAATTCTTGGTCTAATCTTTAAATAAGTCTGAGTTTGGCCCTTATCTAGGGATCTTACAAACCTTCCCACTGTGGACTGTCAACTTGATTGCAACTAACTGAGGAGCTTCTCACTAACAGTTCTTAGCTTTGAATTTCTAGGATGGGTGGTAATTGTACTCCTTGTGCATGAGCTTAGCTTTTCCCCTGCATACATTTGAGCCCTGTTGTTGTTGTCATCATTATCTTTAGGGGCCAGCTTTTTTGGCAGGCATGTCACAAACTAGCTGTACACCCTCCTTGAGTGCCACTATGATCCCCTTCACTTGCTGCTTTGCTTTCTGCCCCTTGCCCTCACTCCCTGGCCAATCTGCTGCTCTGCTTTCTGCTCCTTCCGTTACTCTGCTGCCTATCTCCCCCCTGGTCTGCTGTGTGCCACATGCAGAAGCTGCCCATGCCACTTACATGGCACAGGTTGGCCACTCCTGCCTTATTTTGTGATAGTACCTAGAACCCTTGCTGGGCTAGGGGACAGGGGCAGGAGGAAGGGGATTTAAGTTCTGTTATGCTTTCTGCTTTACATGCTACTTTGCGCCAAAGAGCTCTTATAGTCTTGGCATGTGATAGATGACAATTGCTACACCGAATACTTTGGCTTAGGGAATTGGAGCACAAAGTTTAGGGTACAGTCATGCTTATTACTCGCCTAACACAAGGCTGCTTGTTTTAAGAGTGCACAGTAAAATGCTCATGTATTTCCTCAAATGTTAGTTTTTGGTGGCTGTGATGGTACTGGATTTATTTGAAGGTGACATCGACCAGGAAATACAGCATTCAGCTTTTGAATTGGGTGTGTGCGCTTCCAGTTTTTGATGAGCACGTTTGCAAAACCTAAATTGTGCCAGCCTTGCAGGCCTGTTCATCAACTTGTCTTGTGACAGTATATCCCTCAAGTAATCTGAATAAATGGTTTTAGGTATCCAGTGTGTGGTGAATCCAGTGAGCGTCAAAACATTCTCATTCACTGATTATACCACTTGGATATAGCATACCTTGCTGCGGTGGGTCAGAGATCGACAGATAAGTCTGTGTTGAGAGACCGAGACAAATGGAGCTGAGATGAGGCGGAGAGAAATGCAGCCATTTAAATCAAAAAGAGAAAATTAAAAAAAGGTATAAAATGGAAGTTTATAAATCAAACATGCAATATGACAGAGTATATTGCATTTATCTACGTTTCATATAAATGGTCATATCACCTGTTCTTTGTTTTGTTGCAATAATCTTGAATGATGAGTTTACACTTATGAAAATAAATGCGGTATCTTTGTCTCTGTGCAGTACATACTTGAGACGAATTGTAAGTGTGTGTGTGGTGTATTTGTAAGTGTTTTATGTAAGCATAGTCTGTACATCTGTAAACATGAAATTGAGGGTAAAATGCCTGTTTTAAAAGTTCCATGTCAACTACTTTGGAAATGCTATAAAGTTACAGACTCTATTCTTAAGACCATTGCCCTCAGGCTAGGTGCAGACGTTCGGGGAGGTTAGGGAGAGGTTGCATTAAAAAAGGCCACCCGATTTAACTTAGTTTATCCAGGTGCAGATCATACACTTGCATTAACCTAACTAGGGAGCTAAATGCAAACTCTGTGTAAGTTCAGGAAGTTTAGATTGGTTTCCAAATGGATGACCTGATCTAAGTTAAGTGTACTTTCAAGTCTGTCTAACTTAGAATGGGTCAGGTGAGACGGATCTAACAGAACTTCTGTATAGTTCCCAGCACAGCCCTGGGGGTGGGAAAGCCCAGTTGCTGGACCCAGCTCTGGGGCTGCACTCCTCCTTTTTTTACCCGCCCCATGGCACTGGGCTACTTTTAGGCCCCTTGTCCCTCTCCCCAGATGGCCCCCCCTTCTCCTGTAGATGAGTCCGTCCCTGAGCCCACCCAAACCCCATCCTGCAAGCCATTCCCACTGCCAGTTTTACCAGTGTTTGCCAGTGCTGGGAGCTGATTTGAAGTAAATTGGGGTGGGAGGGAGAGGGGGTGTTCATCTGGAGGTGGGCAGTGGTGGAGGGCTAAAAATAGCCCCTGGGCCACTGCCTCATTCCTTCAAGCTGTCCTGCAGACCCCAGTAGCCCCCTGATCCTGCCAAACCTTCTTGGACCCTGCTTTATCCCCTCCCCCCTGATCCTGCCAAACTTTCCTGATTCCCATCAACCTCCCTTCCTCGTGGACCTTGGCTGCTGTCCACCCCAATCTTCCCAGCCTCCCCACTAGCCCTCCTATCCTGACTTAGATTGGGTGGCCATTTTTAACTTGATCTAACCTTGCAATGACCTCCCCAAATGTCTGTACATACACTCTGAATTTGTATTTTGATAAGAGTAGGGAGGTGCCCTCTGCTATGTGGTCCACCAGAAGCTATTTGGAACCCAGGGTTTGTATACTGGGTTTGTCATTAGCAGGTGAATTCAAGTGTAGGGATGTGCTGTCACTTGCACAGTCCCCAAACGTGCCCATTGGAATATGATTGCATTGAGATCTCAGCATCCCCACCCCATTTCATTCAGGGCTAAACTGCTTATCTTCCATTTGGTAGCTTAGTGGAAGTATGCACAATGCACTATGCCATTGCTCTTCCTGTCTCCCATCCTTCTGGTGTAGCTTGTACCCTTTGGCAGAGAAGCAGTTATGCATGCAAAATTTCTCTTGGATATCAGTGCGGAAAGTTCGGTAAATGTGGAATTCAGGATAAAGCCTCCAGCAAAGTTGTATTTGCATGTCTGGTGTTGAAAGAAAACATGTTTGTGCCTAACGTGCTGGTGAAATTGTTCAAAAAGTTCATTCATCTGAAAAGATCTCTGCTGTAATGATGTCTTAGTCAGAGAGACACAAGATAATCTGCTGAGTAAATTAGATTGTGCTAATTTAACATTGCCACTAGACATCTTAATTGATGCACTCAATTTCTTTGAAATTTCAATTTTTTTTGGCAAATATAATATCTAACTTAGTGGCTTCAGACAGTTCTTTGCGCTTTCAACCTTATAATTTTTTTTGCAAGTTCTTTTTCACTATGTCCTATCCACTTGTTCTCTCACACCTATGGTGTGGAAAGCAGAAGTAAGTACAAATGTTCTCAAGGTAGACTGTCACTTTTCCACTCATCTTACACACCAGCCTTGCTTTACCATTCCTTGTGCTTTTAAGAAAAAAGGAATTATAAAAAAAAAAGGAAGTATGCATATAGGCAAGGATTTTGGGGCGATATCTCTTTTATTGGACCAGCTGTATAGTTGGAAGTGATGTTAGACAAGCTGACATTTCAGAACATCACCAAGCCTTTATATCTACCCCTGGGAAAGTGAGCAGTGCTTAACTGGAGCACAGTATCGGTGGTATACTAAGAATTTGTATATGCAGGTTTGGCATGAATTGCCAGGCTCTGCTGTAGCCAAGCGGGTGGGGAAGGCAGCCTATTGTGGCTTGTTTTTCCACATGTTGACTTGAATGGGGAGGAAACTTGCAGCCCAGAGTGTGGATATTGGGTGGCAACTTCCTATGGATTTGATTACCTGCTAGAATAAATAGCAAATACAAGATTGGGAACTAAGAACTAAGATTTTTGGAGTTTTTCTGGCTGATTACCTTACATCAGAAGATCAGGAGGCAATCTCTCAAGGTCCATTTCCTCTCCTGGAAATGTTCTTCCTTCTGCAGATAAAGCATCCTTCTCTTAACCCATACACTTATGGTTTAATGGACTTCCTGCGGGATAGGAAGAGAGCTGCCAGATAATTGGGAAAGTACCAGTACTGCCACTGTTTGCTTTTTATTTGGCTGTCTTTTCTTTAAACTGGGAATTAATGTAAATATTTATTTTTCAGTATTGGATTAAACTGTGCCTTAGGAGCAATAGAAATGCGGCCCTTCATTGAAACAATTGGGAAATGTACAACGGCTTTCATCATCTGTTATCCCAATGCAGGTGTGTGTCATGTTTGAGTATACAATGGAAATTACTTCAGCTGTTCTGTATTCCTACAATTTATATGCTAACTAGATAATTTACAGGCAGAGTATATAAACAGATTGCAGTACCTCATCATTTTGAAAACTCCCCTTTTTTTTTCTTTTCACTTAAAAGTTTGGGTCCCACAGTAATTTGACCTTGCCCAGCAAAAAGTGGACTTGGGTATTGATATTCAGTGTGCTGCCAGTTTGATTTATTTTCTGTCTTTTCTTTCCCGGGTTCAGCCTCCAAGTTGACCTCAGATTAAAAAAAAAAATAATAATGTCTGTATTGAGGACCCTGAAAGACTTGAAATAATATTGACATTTCAAGAACTCTCAAGAAATCTTTATCAGAAAACATTTAATTGCTAAGTTTAAAATTCCTATAATGATGATGATTATGGCAAAATAATAAAAGATCAATCTAAAAAATAACATATAACTTGGTAATCAAGCAGTTCACCAGCAAAGAGATTGGACTCTAGCAGTGTCCGGATACACTTTGAGTTGAAGGCTCTTATCTCAAAATAACACCCTTTGTTATACAATTCTATTCTCATTAACTATTTGCCTATTATGTTAAACCTGCTAATTTACATTGTTTTATGAAAAGTATAAGTAGCTCTGAAAAACAGCCCAAATGACAAAATCTGACTTAGTAAATTTTACAAATATAACTTAAAGTTAAGAACATTATTTTCTAGAGCTTCCCATATAATTACTCTTTTCCCAGATTATTGGATTCTGGGATTTTTCCCACCCTTCCTTCTCCCTCCAGGCTTATTTTTGCTTAACATAGCATTGCCACATTTTTACTTCTTTCTAAGTCTTCATCAAAATTCATATCCCTGTTGGGCAGGAAATTGGCCTCATTTGGAAGTTTCTGATGCAGGGTAGATCCCTAAAACCTTTTTACCTGTAAGCAGTTTGAGAGACTAAGAGACTATTATAAATGAGAATAAATAAACTATTACTCATGACAATAAATGTATAAAGATGCAGGATGAGGCTCTCGCTGACCCAGTACCAGTACAAGGAAATGTTTTCTGGGAGGCAGAGAAGCAGGGAAGGATTTTCTACTAAACACAGTTTATATGTCTTTAATAACCTGGGTTTATTTCCCCCATAGAGACAGGAAGTGAAGGTTGGAAAAGTATAAGGCTGAAAAGCAAATACTTTGGGGCTAGGTTAAATGACTAATTGGGGAAATCTAACACTAATGAGCTTTTTATTTATTAGCAATGTAGCAAATATTTGTTAATTTATAGCCAGAAACACTGCTCTGTAGCTACACTAGTTCAGCTTTTAGCTTAAGTGAAATAATTCTGTTAATTTAAAAACAGAACCCAGAACTTCAATAAAGCTTTACCACATTTCCCTTTAAAACTCCTCAGGGAAAACAATCATTGTTACTATGGATAAGAAACATTTAAATTCTGTTGAAGTTTTTGAAAAATATTTTCTTTCTTCAGACGTATTCCGAATTCTTTCTGAAAAAACAAATCATAATCCCTCAGTGAATGGCGATTGCAAGTGTGATGAAGCATTTTAGTCCTTTTACACATGCAGCTGATTTTAAACGTTATTTCTTTGTGGGGTTTAAACAAATTGTAATACATTACTGAAAATATTCCACCAGGTCTTCCCAACACCTTTGGAGGTTATGATGAAACACCTGAAATGACTGCTGAGCACATTAAGGTATGGAATATTTCTCAAAACCATCCTTGGTAATAGTTAATACATTTTTTTTTCTGTGTGTACTTTATTCATGTTTTGTATGTTTACTACAGCATTGCTGTAGTTCAGGAGTGGGCAAAATACGTCTCACCAAGGGACTTTATCTAGTCCTCAGCTGGTCTCTCAGTCCCACCCAGCCCAGGTTTGGGGGCCATCCCGGGCCATGGAGCCTACAGCTCAGTCCTGCTGCCCCTGGGCGTGCAGCGGGGCTGGGGTAGTGTGGCAGCCGGACTCTGCTTCCTAGCAGCCCAGTGAGGCGGAGCACACACCCTTGACCAAGCCCAGCACAGTGTGGCTGTAGATCTGTGGGGCCTGGCAGCATGGGGCAGCCCTAATGGACTGTGATCAGATTAGCCTGTTTTATGCTGACAGGCTGTGCCACTCCACAGCTGTACTGTACTGGGGTTGCCTGCCTGTGCCGGGGTAGGGGGCAGGCCACAGGCGTGCCCTCCACCACTACCGTTTTGCATCAAGCCAGTCCCTTTCCCAGCCCTGTGCTTTCACCGCCCTGTGATCCCAGTCCTAGCTCCAGCCACCCATCCCACTCCAAGATGCTACTCCCCGCCCCCTGTCCTGCTCCTAGATGCTGCTGCCTGCATCCCCATCCTATCCACCCAGCCAAATGCACACTGCCCGCACAGGTCCTGGACTGTTTTCAATGGAGACCCCACCTGCCCTTTCTGTATGGCACCCCCCAGACCAGTCTAGTAATCCAGTCACTTAGGGAGTTTTGGTTAGCTGTTGTGGGAAGGGGTGGGGGGGCAGGTGCTGACTCAGTGTGGTTGGGGGGTGGTGGTGATGGTGACCCAGCCTGCAACAGCTCGCCAAAACTCCTTACGTGGCCCACCATCCCAAATAATTGCCTACCCCTGCTATAGTTTGGTTTTGGATGACTGTCACCTTTCTGTCAAGTCTGAAACAATTTTTTCTCCAGGGGTTTATAACACTTTTGCTGAAAGGTAGTGCTTAAAGATTCATTTCAAACGAAACTTTTATTTCATAATATTTGAAAAGCCAAGTGGTTTTTGGCCTTTTCTCCCTTGTTGGGTTGTAGAAAGGCTTGTTTAGCTTGTAGAGCTGTCTCTTGTATGCTGTAGGTCCTCATGTGTTTGCATTTTTTGACTATAATTAATTTGCTCTCGTATGATTAATTATGAACAGATATTTGATATTTTTTCTAAGTTCTCAAAAAGGAGATACAGACCAGACTAATCTAAGTCAGTGACTCTCAACCTTCCTCATAACGTGGTAGAAGCAGCATGAAAACCAGAGGGCCACCAGTCATTGCCCATATTTAATTTATTTTCGTTTAGTAATATTTCTTCTTTTTATCTTGTTCAGGGAGCCTTAACTTGTTTGGTATGTGAAGCATGTAGATTTTCTTGTCTTTGTTTTTATTAGGTAGTTTTTTAATGCTGTCATCAACTTGAAACTAAATTGCCTTTTTCCTACTTACAGAGTTTTGCTTTGGATAGTTTGGTCAACATAGTTGGAGGCTGTTGTGGTACTACTCCAGCACATATCAGGTAACTTCATGGGCCATATCAACTATGCAGATACTGAGGAAAGGAAAGTATCCCCTATCCTTTCCTCAGTTTCAGAGTCCTATGATCCAAATTAGGATATCTTTACAGAAATAATATACAAAAAACACTTGATTGTAACTTGCAGCAACCCAGGAATAGTTTGGCTCTTTACTTTTGGCTTCTTGTAGGGATGAAAGTAATGTGGTACAAGCAAGACATAGTCCTTTGTCTCTGAAGGAGCTGATTTGGAATAAAGTGCCTTTTTCCTGTCTCCTGCTTATCAGTTGTAGACAGTAGACTTCCCTTTCATTTCTTCTACTCTGTCTTGTCTTCCATGCTGCTGCTTTTTCTAGCATTTTGTGTAGCAATACAGCAGAATTGCTTTGAAGGGAGGAGAAAGAAACAGATAAAAAGCCAAGGGGAGAATCTGAAAACTTTAGAAAGCCCGTTAGCCCAGACAGTCAGAACTGTTTCATGATAGTCCTACTGAAAATGGTACATGGAAAACCACCATTATTTCTTCTGTGTTCACAGGAACCAGTCCCTGTGAATGCACAGGTAGGGACCCTTCTGGTCCATCATTACTCTGATGTTTTGTGTGGGGAATGAGTGAAAGTGCATGGGGGCATGGCATGTTTTCCTGAGCTGATTCTGAAGCCAACAGAAGAGAGATGATTATGCTGTCATAATACAGAGACAGTAGTTAGCATAAGGTATAGCTGATAAAGTGAGCTCATGTTCATGAAAGCTTATGCATCTCTGATTCAGTTCATCTATAAGGTGCATCTTTACCCTGCTTTCTGGCTATCATAGTAGCCACACTCATCATGATTCACATGGCAGTTGTTAGGAGAAGCGTTTCAGCTGAAAGAATGGGTGAAATCTGTCCTTTGTTGCTGCTCCACTGCAGTACATAATCGCAGCCAAAGTTGTGAATTCTTGACTGTGCAGGGTGCAGAATATCTTTGTCCCTGTTAGTAAATGGGTATACTGCAGCAGTGTTTTCCCTGTCTGTCTGCTGGAAATCCACGGCTACTTACACTCACCACCAATAACGATTATAAAATCTTCTTGAAGAGTTTGATTAGTTTTTTTTTTTATTTTGGGGGTTTTTTCTTTTTTTGCCTTTGGCTGCACAACATTGAATGCGTTAATTACCCTTTTCATGCAGGGCTGGATTAGGACTGCGAGTGTTTGTCTTGTACTTTCACTTCAGTTTTACATAGGGGAATTTGGTGTCAATTAAAAACTTACACTCTTAAAACACCAGGGCTTTTTCTCTCCTCTTGTAATCCAGGGAGATTGCAGAAGCCGTGAAAGCATGTAAACCTCGCGTCCCGCCATCCTCCTTTTCAGACGGCTACATGCTGCTATCAGGTATGACGGAGCAGAACAGGAACTTTACATTTCACTCGCTCTTCTTCTATGGCACTCTGAGGACCAGATTGGGGTGGGCAAGAACCAGAACTCCATCACCACACACAAACTTCTGAAAATATAACAGTTTGCATTAATCCCTAGTAACATTATAAGGGTTACTGAAACTATTGGATGCCCAATCAGTGAGGCCTGAGAGACATTCCTATCAACACTGGCTTCACAGCTTGTTTAATAGCAAAGTTTAACTCTTGCAGTCTTTCAGTTGCTGTTTCTCAAAGTGCTTTACAAAGAAAGGTTGGATTACTTATCCCCATATGGCAGGCGGGGAAAGTTTGACACATGGGATAAGCTGGACTGCCCAAAGTAATGTGTAAGGTCAGTGGCAAAGCTGGAAGTTGAACCCAGGCATCCTGATCCTAGGCAAGTGCCCTGAAAACACAGCATCCAGCCAAATGTTACGATTAGGGACCTACCCAAATCATGGTTGCTCAGATTTTGTGGAAATGGGATAATCTCCGCAAAATCCATGGGAAGAGGGAATCTTACTGAAAATGAAATGCTGGTTCTCTATTGGAAGCCAGCAATCCTTCTGGCTATGCAGCCCACCTGGGGGAAGGGCCAAGGGAGGTTGATGGCATGAAGGCGAGCATGCAAGCTAGCTGCTGTCTCTTCCAGTTGGGTAGACTCCTAATTATGATTATCTGTGGGTCACCTTGACAGTCAGTGTATCAAAACAATGGCAAGATTTCATTCCCTTATTCAGGATGGCTTTTTTATTTCTCAAAATCAAAAATAGTCTGATGTAAATTCAACAAATTGTGTCTGGACCAACGGTAACTTACTTGTTCCCCATGTTTCAATTTTTACACAAGCAGCTGGTTGACTTGAGCTTTAAATAAAAGATAGCTACAGTCCCTGGGCTCATTTCTGAGCTCAGCCTCAGGTGGGAATTAGGGGTGGTAAGTAAGTTCATCTCCCTGAAAAAAGCTGTCTTCACTCTGTGGCAGTTACTTTAACTGGGATCCCAATTAAATATTAGATGTTTATTTGGTGTGGTTCTTAAAAGCTTCTGTGAGGCCAATGTTACTGTGTTTGGAGGGTCTGAATATGTTTTCAGTGAACTGGGAAAATTCTGGTTGTTAAAAGAATTGCCCTTTGAGTGCCAGTAAGTAAATGGGTTATCCTTGCAGATATGTAGAAACCTAGAGAGTGGGTAGACCAAACAATTATACTGCTTTAAATAGGGGAGGGACTTACCTGTAGTTCAGCTGAATCTGTTGTAATTATTGCATCTCTCTTTTACCTCATCTGTTTCATTCGGGGTAAATTATTGTTGTTTAGCTTCACTTGCTGCAGGTTAGGAGTGGATAGACAAAACAGTTGCAACAGATTCAGCTGATATGTGTTAGTGAACAGCATGTCTTTCCCCTCCAAAGAAGTATTATTTTTAGTCCCTCCACAGCCTTTGTGGGGTATTTTTTCAAACTGGTTAGCAGAAGGGACTGTCACAATTTCTAAGTAACATTAAGTGTTTTACATGGTTAGAAGTAAGTGCTGCCCTCTAGCATTATTCAATAATCTTCTCAAAGCATCACTATTTTATGCTACTTCTCTTATGTCATTAATAACTTAGGCTAACTTTCAGTTGTGATTGCCTTAATGCATAGGGTGGCCTCATTTTAATGCAGTACCTCTAACTTCCATGCAACTTGCATTTGCTCACCCTTTGAGGGCAGGGAGGATTGAACAAATTACTCATCAACTTCAAACAACTAGGACTGAATTTTATTACATATGGTGAATAAAGAAACCATTGTCTTTTGTGCCTGGTCTTGCAGCCATTCCACATACAAAATCCCATTGGTGTTGATGGAGGGTACCATGAGCAAAACAGATCAGGATGATTAATGCTTGCATATTGGTATGATGGTATACAGTTACTTTTCTCTAGAGAATGTCTCCCATTAGCATGCCTATTTAGGTTGGTATAATGTGGCTAGTTCTGTCTTTTTCCTTCTCTCCTGCAAATGAGATACAGCTGCTAGACCTTGCAGTTAAGAATGCTGTCAGTGAGCGAGAGTTTGTACATGACTATAATAATTAACAGGAGAAAGTACACATTTTCAATTCCAGCCTGATGTGCTGTATCCCCCGAGATTAATAGGGGCTTCATTGCTTGGATTGGGGGTAAACTTGTTTTTCTCATACAGTGTTTTCCATTCTTTTTCTATATATTTATGGGGGGGGTTGTTTTTGTTTTGTTTTGTAATTATAATGTCTTTTTTAGGTTTAGAGCCCTTCAGGATTGGGCCATACACCAACTTCGTTAACATTGGTGAACGTTGCAATGTTGCAGGATCCAGGAAGTTTGCTAAGCTCATCATGAAAGACAACTATGAGGTGAATTGCTAATACCAGTTTTTTTAGATGGTGTACAAATTAAACCATATAGTTTTATAGCATTTCTTATGGCATTGCATTGCTTTTCAGCCATCATGTCTGGACATCTTACTCAGTCCATTTGCAAGAATTTTAATTCTGTTTCCTGGCTTTCTAAATGTTCTTTCTTTCTTTGTTCCCTGCTGTATTTAGTAGCAGTTGATTAATGCCAGGGAGGGTTTAACTGGGGCTTTATTAGCTGTATAACTAGTGTTACTGAAAAATCTGTTCCTTGTTTGATTCTAGCTGCACAGCTGAGGGTGCTGTCTTGATCTGTGCTGTTTCTTCAGCAGTTTGGAGTCAAGGGTTGAACTGGGGAAGACAGGAAAAGTGCCCCAGAAAACCTTTCCACTGCAGCTTGGAACAGTTCTGGATCAGTATAAAAAGACCTTGGATAAGATCCTCAGTTGGTGTAAATTGTTACAGCATTGTTCGTTTCAGATGTGACAGTTTACAGCAGCAGAGGATCTGTTATACTAGAGCCTGTTGTGCTGCCTCACACCATCTAAATTAAGATGTGGACACATGCAACAATTGAACTGTTTGAAGAATGTCACTGGGAGCCAGTTCACAAGTGTTGCGGTTTCGAGGCATCCACATATACACCGCCAACGGTTCTCAATAGAACAGTCACCTTTAATGCATTTCAGTGCTGTGACCCAGTATGCCTTGTAGCAGCAAGTGCCTGGAGTCCACAATTTGGTTGGGTAGGGCTGGGGCTGCCTAGTCTCCTGCTTCTCTTGTTTGGAGGTTGGATATTCTAGAGGCTGCCCAAGGTCTCTGCCTCATGTTTCAACTTTAAGATGACTTTCCCTAGAAAATCACTTAATATCAATTCACCTCCCTCCATATTCTACCCTGCACATACATCTCTATGCAGTTGCTGGCAATGCATAATACTTGACCTGCTTTCATGTAACCCACCCCTCACCATCCTCCAAATCATGTTGGGAGGCCACAGACCAGGGTGGATTTTAGACAATGGAAGTAATTGAGTGGCTTTGGAGGGAAAGTCCTTTTAAAGATGCAGCTTGAAGAGGCAACCTTAGGCAGCCCCTTGGAGCACCTAGCTCCTTAGGAACCCAGAAGTGGGGGCATCTCAACTTTTTGGACTCAAGGCACCCCTTGGAAAATGTCAATTCTTAATTGTCACTCTATAACCCTAAGGGCTGCTGTGATGCCCGCTGTGGACCAGCCTAGTCCCTCCTTTCCGTCTCTCTTGCCATGCCTTGATGTTCCTTTTCTGTTGATTGGGAGGCTGCCCCTGAGTCCTGGAGTGGGCTTCTTGGTGCCTAGTGGACTCATTTGATTTCTGGGCCCTCCGTCCACTACCACGCCCTTGCTGGCTTCTCTGCAGGCAGCTCATGTACCCAGTCAAAATTACTTGTACCCTGGTGGCATGACTGTACCTTGGCAGTCGCAACTCATGACCCTACTGGCCCAAACGTAAGCCATAAGGGCTTTAGTCATCACCTCTGTCATCCCCTACAGCCATGCCCATGTCTGTCAGACAGGTGAAGACACTCCTGTGTAGGCTCTAGTCCTCTTGGCTTTAGCTCGCATGTTACTCTGGCTGTAGGCCTCTAACTTGGGCCTGCTTGCTCTGACTCATCTTCTTGGTCTCAGCTTGTTTCCTTTTCAAGGCTTAGGCTCTAGCCCCCTTGCCCCAGTCTCTCTCTGTCTCTCTCTGTCATGCGCTTCCTCTGGCAGGGCCAGACTTGGAGTGCCTTTCTGCCATTCCTGTGTGGCCTTCTAACAACCTCTACAGCCACAAACTGGTCCTCTGGATGTTACTATCCTGATCACAACAAAAATGCAGCCTGTCCGGGTATGCACAATACAAAGAATAACCTGAATTAAATCATCCCTACTCTGGCTGAACTGAGAACACAAAGAAGAGGCTTCTTTGCCTTTGCATACCTGCAGCCCCCTTACCATAACTCTGGGCTCTGATGGCCTGCCTGGATCCTTATTCTTTCCCAGCCAGGGCTAGAGTGACCCAAGGCCACCCTTGGAGTGGTCTCCAAGGGATTTTCCCAAGTGGCATTGTCTGCATTCTTACCCTTTGGAGCACAAAGACTTTACTCTTAAAAGGACCTTGCAGGTTTTGCTTCTCCCTTAGCCTCCCAGTAACAGGGCAGGGGTTCTCTGTTACACAGTCATTTTTTTGACTACAGAAAAATAATAGATTAATCCTTGTGCTGCAAAAATCTCAAGGACCTCCACAACAGGTCAGAATCTTTTTAACTCGGTGAATTCCTATTTGAAATCTATGGGTTTGTCTTATGAATCATGTTTGCACACCTAATAGTGCCAACATTTTGTGGCACCCTGCAGCAGCCTTGAAATGATCTCAAGTCACCCCAGACTGCTGCAGTACCCCCTGTTGAGAATCACTGACTTGCAACAAGGAAGGAACTCTTATTAGGACTATAGGAAAATGACACTGTTATGTGAATTAGTGAAAGGGAAAGGCTTTCATTTGTGGTGCTAATCACTCTTTCTTTTTTTTAATTTCTCCTCTAGGAGGCTCTGAGTGTAGCCAAGGCACAAGTTGAGATGGGAGCCCAGATTTTGGATATCAACATGGATGATGGAATGCTGGATGGCCCAAATGCGATGGCCAGATTTTGCAAGTTAATTGCTTCCGAACCTGACATAGCGAAGGTTGTACCAGATTCAGCCCAGAGCACAGATGTTGTTGTTGTTGTTGTTGTACTCTGAATCCTAATTTCAGGAAAATGTTGATACCCATTGTCTTGCATACTGGAGGAGTGTGTGTGTATTTAGTTGCCCTCTGCTAGTTTTGTGGTGGGAAAGCTACAAGTATTGGACTGTGGCTCTTCCCTTCCTTTCAGAGAGGAGTCATACATATTAAATGGGGGATGGCATATAGCAGAATGGACTTCTGAAGAATCAGGTTTTTATTATGCTCTTCCCTTTCCTTTGCTTTTCTTTCATTTGGCTAAATAAAATGTGGTCTTCTCCTACTGATCAACAGTCTATATATGGGAAGTATAAGGCTGTGTTTAGCAATCATTCCTTGTATAGATTTCCTTCTGAAATCTTTCCTCAAGCTTTTTGAAGTTCAGGGGTTCATAAATAGCTGGGATGTAAGGTAGTTTTAATGCCAAGAAATTAAACTTTCTAAAAATAAGTATTTGCATTATGAAGGAAGAGGATATAGAAGTAAAAATATATCTACATAAGACAAAATATCCTATATGTTGTGTGGTGTGTGTTATGGAGTTGCTGTTTGTGTGCGAGTTAAAATGCTTTTAGATTTGTACTTGAAGGATGGGTTCTGGATGCTATTTTGTTTGTGGATAACTTCAATTTTTTATTTTTGGACTTGACAAGCTGATACATTCGGAGGCTTGCTTTTATAATCTTTCTGGTGAAGTTGGTGAATGGTGCTTGGAACATTTACTTTTCATTTGCATTTACATTCTTTGTTTACCTTTCTGCTGGTTATAGGTGCCATTATGTATTGACTCTTCAAATTTCTCTGTGATTGAGGCTGGCTTGAAGTGCTGTCAAGGGAAATGCATTGTGAACAGCATCAGCCTGAAGGAAGGTGAAGAGGACTTTCTAGAGAAAGGAAGAAAAATTAAGTTATATGGAGGAGCTGTTGTTGTTATGGCTTTCAATGAAGTGGGTCAAGTGAGTGTTGCTTTTCCTATCGGACAGAGTTCATCATTGAAATTAAAGGCCCCTCACTCCCGTGGGAGGCAAAGTGGCCTTGTGTTCCTAGCCAAATATGATCAAAGAAGTCTGTGTAGTCTTAATTTCTCTGCAGTTAGAAACACCCTGATTATATCATGTTAATGCTTTATACAGATCTACTGTTTCCTTGAAGCCACTAGATTGAGGTAATGAGGGCTTTTGTGTGAATAAGGGTGGTAGAAGAACAGCTTTAACCTTGCTCCATTGTAGAAAACCAAGGTCTGCTGATTGTAGAAGCCATGTTGGATTTGGTGGACCATAAGGCTACTCTCCTTCTCTAGATAACCAGCACAGCAGTTGGGTGGACAGGAATTTTACAGCAGGGACAGTTTTCCTTTTAAATTCTGTTGGACTTTTCCATTTTCTGGTTCAGAATCTGATTGGCATTTGGATCAGAAGGAAACCTGGGCTTGGGTCTGTGAATTTACGTAGTTGTTCCCAAAGTTGTATATCCTATGTTTTCATAGAATCATAGAAGTAGGGTCGGAAGGGACCTTGTAGATCTTCAAGTCCGACCCCCTGCCTGGGCAGGAAGAAAACTGGGCTCAAGTGACCCCAGCCAGGTAGGCATCAAGCCGCTTCTTAAAG